CACTCTTCTTCTGATAAGAGGGCTATTGATAGCCTTCATGGCTTTAATTATTTAATCGTTATTGATGAGCATTAAAAGCTCCCCAAAAGGACAGCCTTTCTTTATAACAGCCTCTTCTACTGCCCTGTCCTTACCCTTCCCAGCACTCCTTTCCTTTCCCAGGTAAGAAAAAAACTGCCAAAAAGCTATCTCTAGGAGACCGAGTCTCTAGCCAGGGTCCTAACACCTCAAAAATATTTGAGAATCCTCTCTAGTTCCTAATATACAGAATGTTACAGTTGCCACATTTAGCAAAGAAAGCAGAAGATACCCAGTTAAAGTTAAGATAAAGAATAAAAATGTAATATGAGTATGCTCTATGCAATATTTGGAACATACTTACACTAAAAAACAATTATTGCTTGTCTGACATTGAAATTTAACTAGATATCCTATATTTTATTTGGCAAACTTATAGAGAGTCCTACTCTAACTCCATCTAATGTTTTGAGATCTAACTTCCTTGGAGATTGGCTCCTAATTTAAACCCTGAAGGAAATGCTTGTAACAAATAAGACTGTATTTGCATGAAATTTAGCAGGTGTTGCATGGCCCGCCTAACAAAACTGTTGTTTTGAGACTAAAAAGAATAGAAACAAGACTTTGCTTTAAAAACCTACCCAAGATATTTTTCTGTTTTGTTATTTTTTATTGAATCTTTCAAAGATACCCATGAGCAAAGACAGTAATACAATGCCTTGCACACAATTTATGTTCATCCTGTTCAGTTTTTTGTTTGTTTGTTTGGATGTGGGTGTTTATATTGCCATTCTGTAAATTGGTGGTTTTGAACTTCGGCTGTGCCTTAGCGTCACCTGGAGAGCTTTTTAAGTTCTCAGTCCCTGCCTGCCTCCCAGACCAATTAAATCAGAATACCAGCAGTAGAGTCAGACATCAGTAGCTGTCCAGGTGATTCCAGTGAGCAGCCAGGGCTGAAAACCAATTCCCTAAATGAAAATGGCAAATTCAAGGAAGAATTTTTCCTGCTACATCATGTCCTAATATCTCAAACTCCTCTCCAAAATTATTTCATAAACTTTTCAGTAAGTATATTATATTATACCATGTTCTATTTATTATATTATATTGGATATTATGGCATAGCATATATTGTATTATAAAGATTATTTCTGAAAACATTTCCTCTGGCTTTAGTTACATCACTGATTCATTTTTAATGTCCTAAAAATGTATAATTGGCTTTTGTTTCCAAATATTTCTTTGTGATTTTCTTATGTCTTTTTCATATGTATTTCTCTGTCTCAGATTTTAATCCAGGGGCTCTTTATTCATGAAAACCATTTTAGGGTGCTTTGTTAAAAAAAATGCCGGGGCACCTGGGTGGCTCAGGTGGTTAAGCATCTGACTTCGACTCAGGTCATGATCTCACATTTTGTGGGTTTGAGCCCTGCATCTGGCTCTGTGCTGACAGCTAGCTCAAAAGCCTGGAGCCTGCTTTTGACCCTCTCCTGCTCACGCACGCTCACGCTCTCTCTCTCTCTCTCTCTAATTTAAAACAACAACAACAACAACAACAACATTAAAAAAAAATGACGGAATCCCCCTTCTAGAGTCTCTGCTCTAATTAGTCTTATGTAGAGCCCAGGATTCTTTGTCTTTTTTAAAAGCTCCTGAGGAAATTCTGAGTTTAGGCAGAGTTGAAAGCCACTATTTTTTCATATGTCAAATGCTTACATAGCTGATCACCTGAATCTCCTGGGAAACTTTTAAAATACACATGGAATTGCTCTCCTTAATAAAGTAGAAGGAATGTTAAGATTCCAGGAGCAGGAGAAATGAGGCATTGACACATGGCCTTCAGCGTAATGGGTGGAAATGAGGAGTCCTGTCAGGGATAGCCAAAGGACTTGGGAGAATAAGGGTAAGAATATCTTATATTTTAGAAATACTTTATTTCCTCTTCTGCGTTTCCATGTAAACCTATTCTGTTTCTCTGAAATCTTCAGAGAAGGCCGTCACGCATGGGTACAGCAACACATAGTGAACCCACTATGCCCACACCCACATGTAGTGAACGTCCATTGTCCCGGCCCCACCCATGGAAATCCTAACTCAGCAGGTTCACAGTGAGGCCCTGATAGCAGGACTTTCAGCCTTCCCCAGACCCTTGTGGTGAGTGGCTCCATTTGGTCCCACTAACTGTACATGATGCAACAGCCTTAGACACGATCATCACAGTTCATCCCACTGACATCTGGGCAAATTGATTTGGGGGAAGAGTAAAATCAGCGGTAAAACTGGATTTTTGCAACAGGGGGGAAAAAGAGAGCCTGATTCTTGTGAAGACCTCCCTCAGATCTACCTGGTCTTTTGAATGGCTCTATGGAGGAAGGTATAACCTTTCTGAAAGAGGACAGAAGAAGACCAAGGAAGAGGTGTACAGAAAATTAGTAATAATAATACATTTTAAAGCAGGCTTAATCTTCTGTGATGTGAAATATCGAAGAGGAAGCATGACCTACATTATCAACAGTCATGAGTACCAATCCAAAGATCTTCATTCATTCATCAAATACTGAGCGCCTGCTAAGACAGGGACCGAGCTAGACCCTTGACATTGAGGGTATGGTATGGCCTCGGGAATTACAATCTAGGAGAGAACAATAATTATAATCAGTGGGAGAAAAGTAGTGAGTATTGACCCAGTCTGCGAGGCATCAACAGGGGAAACTTCAGAGAAGCAGAGGACTAAACAAGGCTTTTGAAAGCTCCAATGATTAGGGCGGAGGGAAAATGGGAGGAGAGTGAGGGGGGAGAAAATGGCGTTTCTTACCAGAGTGAATGGAACCCTGTTCACAGGCACAAAGACTGAAAGCAGCATTGTGTGAATTAGAGATGGTTCTATAACACCGTCATGCCACGTTCTGGAGGAGCTGGGGCAGGTGGGAGGCGGAATGGTTGCACTGATCTAGGTCAGACGCCACTCACACACATCAGCCCAGTCGTTAAGGGATATTATGAGCTCCCAGAGTCACCATCAAAAGTTAGATGAGAGGTGGCAAACCGGCCTTGCTAGCCTAAAGCAAAAGACATATGATCTTTAATTGTCAGATTCTGCTGCAAAATCCCTTTTCACCAGACTAATCTGTTCATATCATCCTTACTGGTACTTGGTTACATTTGCCGTTAGGTTTCCTTTTGATTCTAGACTCTGGAATTTTTAACATCCTTGGACATAAGCATTTGTTTTTGCATGGTGTTTTGTGGGTGATCACATGAACCTGAATTCAGTGTGAATTGTAATTTCAGCTTGATGAAAAACTTTTCGTCACACAGGAACTGTATTGACCAACCTTGATAACTCCCCCACTCGCCTGTTGTTACCTCATAGATACCTGACTGTTAACTCATGCTAACTCTCATCTCCTCTGCTGTTAACTTCCTTCAGTTGGGAACATTGGCCTTGGTTGTGGTGGTGGTGGTGCACTTAATTTTCCATTATAAGTTGTATAGTACAAATACAAAGAATCATGTAATAAATACCCATTTACTTATTGCAAGGCTTAACCAAATCTAAATGTTTTGCTCTATTTGTACCAATTCTTTTCACAAACTAAAACATTGTAGATATGGTCAGTTAAAGCTCTTTCTCTTCTGAGTCTGACTCGCCTTCTGACTCCCCTTCTCTCCATAGTAAACACCATCCTGATCTTAGTGTTGATTATCATTGTCATTCATGGTTTTATACATTTACTACATATATGTGTCCATAAGCAACATATAGTATTGCTTTATACTTTTTAAAATTTTGTTTATATTACTGCACCCCTCGGGTATCTATCTGTGCCTTGAATTTTTATTGAAAATTAAGTTTTTGAGATGTGTTGATGACACAGATAGATTTAGTTCACTTTTTAAAACTACTTCATAGCATTCAATATATGACTGTACGAAAACTTATTTTTTATTGCATACTGGTAGACATTTGTATTTTTTCCAATTTTTCAGTATCGTAAAACTGCAGTGAACGTCCTTGTGCACATTTCCATGTGCACAGATATGTTGGGATATATATATATATGTATCTCATATATATATATGTATCTCAACCATCGTAATGAAATGGGCTCATGTGCCTAAGACAACGCTAAAAGCCCTGACACACTGGAGTACTTCTGGACCAGATACTATGAAGTACATGTGACAACATAATCACCTTTAAAACAGTATTATAGCGGGGCACCTGGGTGGCTCAGTTGGTTGAGTGTCCGACTTTGGCTCAGGTCATGATCTCCTGCCTGCATTGGGCTCTGTGCTGACAACTTGAAGCCTGGAACCTGTTTCAGATTCTGTGTCTCCCTCTGTCTCTGCCCCTCACCTGCTTCCACTCTGTCTTTCTCTCTCTCTCTCAAAAATAAATTTAAAAATAAAAAATTATTTAAAAGAGTATAATAATGTTACACTGATGTTTTCAACTTGTAAGTTTTCACAGAAATTTCCCTCATGGAGGTGTATAAGTCTCAGTTCTGAGCCATAGAATAATTTAAGGAGTGATCAAATGAGAGTACAGAAATGGAGAGGAGTATAATATACCTTCAAGAAACTTGGGTTCATTCAGTTTAAGCACTGATCTTGCCCCTTTCCCCCTCATACGGACTGAGAGCCAATTGCAGTATTTAGGCACTGAATTTAATGTGAGCTTTTGTTTGAAGTGTACACATTACCAGTTATTGCCGTGGGAGGAAAGAAGTCTCCTATGTTTTCGTGGTGATTTTAAATTCATTCATTTACTAGAGGTTGCTAGGTACTCAGCCCTGTGTTAGGGGCGCTGGGTTGTCAAAGATGAAGTCCTCAGAAGAACTTATGATCCCACAAAGAAGAGATGCTTAGAAACTGGCATTGGGAGGATTTTGGCATCTGAAATAGACTCTCTATTCTCTCCCTTAGTGACACTCAGGAAATGCTTGTCTTCTGCTGTTGATGAATAATTTCAGAGTACTATGGATCATGCTGAAGAAAATGAAATCCTTGCAGCAAGCCAGAGGTACTGTGTGGAAAGGCCTATCTTCAGCCATCTGGTCCTCCAGGAAAGACTTCACAAGAAGGACAAGATTTCGGATTCCATCGGAGATAAGCTGAAACAGGCATTCACGTATGTTGTGCTTTAACTTACTTCCTTTATTCCGTCATTATGAGAGAAGGCAGGTCAAATGTGTAAAGGAAATCTGCAGTGGAGAAAAAACAAAAGGTGAGCACTCAGGATTTGCAGAACTGTCCACAGGGTTCATTCAGGGATAGTATTTGATTGAACCCAGGCTTCCTTATTTATTTCACCCTATTTATCAAATTCTGATTTACTTGCATCTGTTTAATGGTTTACGTAAACACCCCACTTTCCCATACTCCAGCACCTTCAACACATCCACCTCTTGCCTTCGACTCTCAGGAATGTCCAAACTCTTTTTCCACCCTTTTACTCCATCTGGCAACCTCCTGAATCTAAGTCCCAATCTAGGCTGTCAAGGACACCGTCCTATGACTCTTCATTTTGGAGACACTGTCACAGCCACGTTGCAGGCCTGGGAATGGTAACACATGTGTGCCTGACATGTGTGCCTCTCAATAGCTCCAAAGCTTCCAAACCAAACCATTCTGGACCCTTGGGACCACACCTCTATGCTCTGTGTTCATGTAAGCTTCACCCTCTGTTCTAGGAATGACTATCAGGAGAGTTTTAAAATGTATACCCTAGAGTCAGAATGTCCGAGTTTTAATCCTTGTCCCGACTACCTACCAGCCATGAGCTTCAGTTCTCTACTCTGTAAAATGGGGATAATATAGGACTTACATCATAGAGTGACTGGGGGTTAAAATCTGTTGAGATGTGCGAAGTGTGAGGCATGTGGCAAGCACTACGTAAGTGTAGCTGTTATTCATGCCTCCGTGTTCTAAACAAGCAGCCTGGCATCTAATCTAGTTTGTTCCACTCAAACTCCGACTCTTGCCACACTTAACCCACATTTGCTTCCAATGTCTTCCTTCGCCTGATAATCAGATGCTTTGACCACTAAAGACATTATATAAAGTACCATGCATGCTGTAAGAGTGTAGTGTCCTTTGAATGGAATAAATTGATTCCTTGTCACCAGGACTTGGGGCTGCCAGAGTGATGGAACTCATCTGCCCATGTGATATCTTTGATTCAGTGATACCTTTGATGATTGGCCTAGAGTGGGAAGAGGACATCTGGGCCATGGCCAGTCCTCTTCCCATGGCCCAGAATGTAGTCTATGTATCAAAATTAATTGAACCACATGGGGACTAAATGCAAACCCTTGGTTTTATCAATATGATGTTCTACCTAATCAAGACAACCAGATACAGAATCCACTACTACATCCCACTGTAGTTTCAGATATGTTTTCATAAAGCTCTTAACACTTATATAAATATGCTTCATTTTATAAGGAAGGAGGAAACTAACTGGGCCTACTGATCAGTAGCTCCACCTTCAAAAATTGACTCAAGCAGGGGCGCCTGGGTGGCTTAGTCGGTTAAGTGTCTGACTTCAGCTCAGATCATGATCTCACAGTTTGTGAGTTCAAGCCCTGCATTGGACTCTGTGTTGACAGCTTGGAGCCTGGAGGCTGCTTTAGCTTCTCTCTCTCTCTCACTCTCTCTCTGCCCCCCCACCCCCGCTCATGCTCTTGTCTCCCAAAAATAAATAAATGTAAAAATATATATACTAAAAAAAAAATTGAAGCAGTAAGTAATTTACCTGCTTTGCTTTTACACCAACACAGAAAGCACATTTAGGATGCCATCTATTAAAATAATAGCTTCCAGTGTATCCCCATTGTTTTAAAACTAAGTTTTTCTTATTTTTCATGGTATGTTGTTATGGAGCCAATTCAGATGTTTCCATTTAAAAAAAAAAAAAAGAAAAGAAGATCTTGTTGTTTCTGATCTCTCTGGAGTGGCAAGGTCATTCTTAGCACCAAATGTGAATTTGTCTTTATTGCTCCAGGATATGAGGAAGGTAAAACTTTTCCTTGGTATGAATTAAATAGAAATGTCCCTCATTTTATTTTATTTTTTTGTCCTCCCAGGTGTACTCCTAAGAAGATACGAAATATCATTTATATGTTCCTGCCTATAACTAAGTGGTTGCCCGCGTACAAGTTCAAAGAATATGTGTTGGGTGACTTGGTCTCAGGCATAAGCACAGGGGTACTTCAGCTTCCTCAAGGTCAGTAGGTATATTCATTCTTTTTGTTGTTTCCCTTGCTGTAACCTCTTCAACTGACCTGTTTTCTGTTTAATTTCATCATGATTGCAAATTCATACTTTAATCTTATCGTTCTAAAGGAATTTTTTAGGGGAGCCTGGGTGGCTCAGTCAGTTGAATGTCCAGCTTTACCTCTGGTCATGATCTCACAGTTTGTGACTTTGAGCCCCGCATATCGGGCTTGCTGCTGTCAGAACAGAGCCCACTTGGGATCCTCTGTCCCCCTTTCTTGCTACCCCTCCCCACCGCTCATGGTGTCTGTCTCAAAAATGCATAAACATTAAAAATAATAATAAAATAAAGGAATTTTTCAGGAATAATTACCGCTTAAAAAGCCCAGAGATAGTAGTTGTAGAATGTGGTGATACTGTTTTGCAAATCAGAACCCTTAGGAACTGGTTGGACATGACCTACTTCTTGCCTGGTTAATCAGTCATTCATTGAACACGTTCTTGGTGTTTTCTTTGTTAAGGTTCTTGACTTATAAATCCATATTCTAACTACAAGGGACCAGGATAGACTGAATTCCTCTACATTTGTGTGATTTTTATCTGTGATAGAAGAATTTAAGAAAATGCTCATTAATTTATTCATCTATTCACATGTTTATCAGTATCTGCCTAATCTTCCTTGTTCTTATGGAACTAACTATTCAATCGGGCAGAAAGACATGGATCAAATACACATACAAAATTTTGGGGAGCCTGAGTGACTCAGTCAGTTGTGTCCAACTCTTGATTTCGGCTCAGGTCATGATCCCAGGGTCATGGGGCTGAGCCCTGCATCAGCCAGGAGCCTGCTTAGAATTTTCTCTTTCTCCCTTTGCCCCTCTCCCTGCTCATGTTCTTTCTCTCTCCAAAATTAAAAAAAATTAAAAAAAAAATTAAAACACATATAATTTTTTAATTGCAAATGATGTGAAGCACTCTGAAGGAAATTACAGGGTACCAGAAGATAATAACGGGGGAACCTAACTTGAGTAGCTAAGTCACAAAAAGTTCTTTAAGAGAGAGGGTTGAGCTGGGCCCTGAAGGATGCGTGGGAGGCAGGTAAAAAATGAGAGGAAGTGCATTTGAGACAGAAAAAATAGCATGTGTGAAGACACTTAGGAAAAGAATTGAGGATTTGAAGACTTGATTTGAAGAATTAACAGAAAAGCAGCTAGCTAGGGGTGTGGGGGTCCAGAGGCCAGTGGCCAGCGAGGTGAGCAGTGTCAGGTCTACACAGCCTTGTAGCCACTTTTTGGATGTCACTCTGAGTGCACTGAAATGTATCACCATGCTTTACTTGGGGTTTCTTTCTTTCTAAGAGGTCACTGAGACTGCTTGGTGGGGGGGTGGATTTGGTTGAGAGGGGCGTCAGAAGGAAAGTAGGGAGACCAAGTAGGGGTTATAGTGACTCATTGTAGCAAAAGGTGATAATGGCTCGAACAGTCTCTATGTCAGTTGCCAAGGATCTATTCCATTCTTCAGTTTCACAAAAATTAATTAGCAAATGATCAGTTGGTCAAAAACATCACTTCCCATAATGATCACTCAGTGAATTTTTAATTTTACAAGTGACTGATTTGCCAAATCTTTTAAACAAAACCCTTAAGCCAGGTTTAGGACTGTTTTTCTCATCCATTTTGACACCAACACCCGAAGGACAGAGAAAGGAACAGGTTCAAAGGCAGAGGTGGGGGCAGGGAGGCGAGCATCCGGAGGCTCAGCTGAAACAGGAAACAAGTGAAACTGACCTCTGGTCAAGTTGGACAGATAAGGTCACAGGAAGTGATGCAGTGAACCCGTGTAAACTGACACTTTGGAGAAATCCTCACAATTGTGTCAGAAATTTATCTTTGGCTGCTTATCCTTCTTTCATCTTGATCTAGGGTGGTGGCTTTAAAAATGGAAATAATTAGGGGCGCCTGGGTGGCTCAGTCGGTTGGGTGTCTGACTTCGGCTCCGGTCATGATCTCACAGTTCATGGATTCAAGCCCCGCGTCAGGCTCTGCTGACAGCTCAGAGCCTGGAGGCTGCTTCAGATTCTGTGTCTCCCTTTCTCTCTGACCCTCCCCTGCTCACGCTGTCCCTCTCTCTGTCAGAAATAAATAAAACATTGTTAAAAAATGGAAATAATTATAAAGGTATGTGCTATATTTTATGGTAAAATCAGCCAGATGGTCTGTTGGATTGATTTGGGGGAGAATGGGGGAAACAAGGCATGCCAAGAATTACTTCAAGGTTTCTGGGCTGAAGAGTTGGATGTGGGGACAGTGAGGAAGGATAGTCAAGAGTGTCTGAGATTTCCGGTTCCAGCTGCTGAAGGGTGGGGGTGCCAATTGTAGACATAATAAAGGCTGTGGGAGGAATGGATTTGAAGGGTAAGTTTGAAGATGTTAAATTTGAAATGTTTGTGAGAGACATGGACATTGCATGTTTATGTTTAAAATATGATGGGTTCAAAAGAGAGGTGTGGGCTAGAGCTGTCAGTCTGGAGATTTTTGACATATGGGGGACATTTAAACCATGGCGGTAGACAAGGCCACCCAAAAGAATGTGGAATAAAAGAGAAGGGAGCCAAGATCAAGCTTTGTCCAACATTGAAAAACAAATAAAGAAGGAGGAACCGGCAAAAGAGACTGAAAAAGAAGCATCTGGAAAAGGGGAAGGAGAACCAGGGGTCTGTGGTATTACAGAAAGGACAAAATAATTTCAAAACAAGGAACAATACAGTAGATCAAACACTAATAGGTATAAGTCATCCCACAAACAAATTTGTATGGAAAAGATATTTTTATGCCCATCACTAGTCAATGAAGATGGATAAATATGAAAAAAAAATGTAGCACAGATAGAAATCCAAGTGATAGTAAGTTAATTTCTTGTGGTTGATACATTATTAGTAAAAAGACTTCATTAATTGAAGATCTGCTTCTCTAATTCATTTAAAGTCCCTCTGGAGGCACCTGGATGGCTCAGTCAGTTAATCATTCGACTCATGAGTTGAACTCAGGTCATGATTTCGCGGTTCCTGAGATCAAGCCCCATGATGGACTCTGCTGACAGATTGGGAGTTTGTCTCTCCCTCTCTCTGTCTATCAAAATAAATAAACATTAAATAAATAAATAAATAAATAAATAAATAAATAAATAAATAAAGTCCCCCTAAAATGATGGTAAAGGAGAGGGAGATGGTATAAACTAGCAAGAACAAAGAAAATGGGAGAGCAGACACTGGAGCAGGAAAGAGAAAAGATGGCTAGTGATGGACAACGGACAACTGAATTATCAGTGGAGGAAGCTCGTGTTTAGGTGTGTGCCTTGCAGAACATTGGGAAATTGGCGGCTCTGAGTATTGCCAAAGGTGAGAGGCAAATGGTTAGAAGCAAGAAAATGGGTTGAAAGTCTGTATAATAAGTAGCACACACATAGAGACCCAGGTGCCCACACTGGTACCATGCTGTGGGTGAACACGATAAAAGATGGTCCTGGGGAATTAAGTCTGAACATTGAGCTGTGCACTAATGAAGTCTCTTCTACACTGTACATCTCGGAAGAGACTCCAAGAACTTGCAGCCCAAAGTAAACAATGAACTGCCCCCAGAGAAAAGAGCTATAGTGATAACTAGGGGGTTCCCCAACCAAGATGCTGGCTGTTCACCCAATGGCCGCACCGTAAAGCCCATCAATAAATAAAGGGGGCCTGTGCCCATGAGGCTTCAAGGAAGAAAACAAACCAAATAGAAAGAAGACCATTGGGTACATAAATAATGGAGAAGGCAAAATAAAACATATTTGTTCTGTAATATCCTTAGCAAGATGTAAAAGCATGTTGAATCCATGAGATGAGAATAGGATGTGATTTAAAAAAATTCTTTTTAACATTTATTCATTTTTGAGAGACAGAGACAGAGCGTGAGTGGGAGAGGAGCAGAGCGAGAGGGAGGCACAGAATCAGAAGCAGGCTCCAGGCTCTGAGCTATCAGCACAGGGCCTGATGTGGGGCTCAAACCCACAAACCACAAGATTACGACCTGAGCTGAAGTCGGATGCCCAACCGACTGAGCCACCCTGGCACCCCTAGGATGTGATTTTATAAAGGGCCTTCAGAGAACAACAAAGAGCTCAGAGAAATTAAAAATACAATGGCTAGGATAAAATATTCAGTCAAGAGCTGGAAGACAGAGGAAATCTCCTGGGAGTAGAGGAAAGTGATGAATGCGTGAACAGTAAGAAGGACCAGACCAGACCACAAGAGGATCAGTCCTGGTGTTCCATCATTGACTAGCAGTTCTAGAAAGAAGAGGTTAAACAGCAAAGAAGGGACTATCAAAGAGTATTTTCAGAATTGATATACATGAGTTTTCTGACTGAGAGAAACCACCAAGTACCCAGCAGAATACATAAAAAATAAAATGAGGCACACCATAATAAAATATCAGAAGACTAGGATAATTAGATCTCAAAACTTTTTAGAAAGGAAGAAAAGTCACATAATAGTAATATAACTAAGAGGAGGCTAAAAAAAGCAAAGTCTATACTTTACATCTAAAAATGATCAATTAAGAATAACATGGGACACCTGGGTGGCTCAGTCACTGGAGCCTCCGACTCTTGATTTCAACTCAGGTCATGATCCCAGAGTTGTGAGATCAAGCCCCACATTGGGCTTCATGCTGAGCATGGAGCCTGCTTGGGACTCTCTTTCTCTCTTCCTCTGCCCCTTTCCCCCTCTTGCTCTCGCTCTTCCTAAAATTAAAACAAACCATAACAATGCGAACACATGATTTAGAGTAAGGTTTCTCAACTCCCACACCATACTGGTAGCAGCCCCCACCCTCGGCCAGTCTTGATCATAGAAAATGTCTCCTGACATTGCCAGATGTCCCCTGGGGGGCAAAATCCTCTCAGTTGAGAACTGCTGGTTTAGAGAAATGAGATAAATGGTAGAAAAACAGCTTGTGGTGCCTGGGTGGCTCAGCTGGTTAAGTGTCCAACTTTGGCTCAGGTCATCATCCTCCAGTTCGTGAGTTTAAGCCCCATGTTGGGCTCTGTGCTGACAACTCAGAGCCTCAAATCTGCTTTGGTTTCTCTGTCTCTCCCTCTCTCTCTGCCCCTCCACCACTCACACTCTGTATCTTTCAAAAATAAACATTTTTTTAAAAACAAGAAAGGAGAAAAGAAAAACAGAACAACTTGGAAGTCAGTGCCTCTGGGGGGCAGAACCTGGAGGTGAGGCAGAAGAGACCCGGCTTATCTCCAGAGCCATTCAGTACTCTTTAAACTATGGACATGCATTCCTTTGAAATAAAAATTTAAAAATAGAAATTTATTCTTTAAAAAAAGAGCATGAAAATGACCAGATTGTTACATGTGGAGGAAGGATGCTTCCACAGCTCTTTTGCTAAATTTTTCTTCTCCACGACATGACAATGCACCAAGTGAATGTTGTCCAGGATATTTGTCTGAGGCCCCTGAGCTGAGAACAAAGGGTGTTGTCTCCACATTCTGAAGCTCAGACCATCTGTGCCAAACTGTGAGTGAATGACACCAAACCCTCTTTAGTGCATCACTTCACTAGGATATATGAGGGGCCAGGTATTATGATAATCGATTTGGAATGAGAATTTCTAGAGAGAGGTGAAAGCACTATTTCCCCTCCCCTGAAAGTCCAGGAAGGAGGGACTGCAAGAGGATCTCTCAGAGCCCAGGACATGTGTCCCCTGGAGTTTTGGGGGATTGTTGCTAATTATTGTAAGAAAAAAAAAAAACAGGTAAAAGGGTATAAAACACCCAGGTAGGCAGAATGGAGAGCCCTCAGTGGGCCCGGCCTGTACTTCCATAGTTTCTTGGGGTCAAGGTGCCAGGCTTTCCCATTGGATAAGTGGGTGCCCCGAAAGGTCCCCTGTCTTGCTTGGCTCATTTGAAAGGCACCTGCCCGAGAAGACTGCTACAGAGGGACATAAGGCAGCAGAGAGGACCTGAGAGAGGTGTAAGAACTGGAAGCTTGGAGTTTCATATTGAAAAGACGTCCCCCCAAAAGACCACAAAAACATCCCATTAGAGAAGCAGCCAGCATTTGGCCATCAACATAGATTATAGCTACACTGGGCAAGTAAGACTTTCTGCCCTCACCTGGGTTGGGAAAGAATAAAATGGAAAAGATCAACCCCCTGCAAAGAGATGACAAGGAAAATTGTCTCAGCCTGTAAGGAGGGTGGGGATGGAAGGCAGGTGAAGACACATCTGCTCAAGTTAACATGGCTTTCACCTCTTCATCCTACAGAACTGGGAGAGAAGTGCCGCTAGCCCTCTGATTTGTAATGATCTCCCCATTTCTGTCTGGTTTCAATCCCGCAGGGTTGGCCTTTGCAATGCTGGCTGCTGTACCTCCGGTGTTTGGCCTGTACTCTTCATTTTATCCTGTTATCATGTATTGTTTTCTTGGAACCTCCAGACACATATCCATAGGTAAGAGCTTAGAGTTGCTATTTTAGTACCTTTCCATTTGGATCTCCAAGGTCTGCATTGTGCCAAAGAAACATTGTGTTTGTTACCAGAACCTCTGCTTAATAATAACTTTTGTTACTGATACTGCTTTAGAAGAATACACTCCCCCCAGATTTCTAGAACTAATAGCTTTCTTACAGTCTTGGCATAAGGAAAAACGACAGTTTTCTTGTGTAAAAAGAGCAAATTGTTGAAATCTGTGAAACAAGTACTTGAGCTCATAATACACTTTGCTTGTATCTAATTTTTCTTTTTGTTTTATTTTATTAGTGGCACTGTGTGTTCCTAATTACTGTGCACGTATTGCATTTTCATCCTGTTTTAGGCCCTGGATTGTACGTGGTTTTTCCCCCGTGTATTTAGGATAAGATTCATACAGATTTTGCAAGAGTGTTGATGCATCATAAGGCTGCCACCAGCAGACACACACACACACACAATGTTTCCAGTGTCTGGTTCTGGGTAACAAACACCCCCCAAATGTAGCAACTTAAAATACTTGTTTTCCATTATGTTGCACAGTTCCCATAGGTCAAGATTTGGGAAGCGCTCATCTGGGCCATTCTGGCCCAGGGTGTGTGGTGCAGTTGAGAGTCCCAGGGGAAGCTTCTCTCCATGTGGTCCTAACTGAGCTCTCATGCTCAGCACCCCGGCATAAGCAGCTATCACAGCTGTCAGCTGGAAGCTGCATCACATTTGTCCCCTAGCCTCAGTAGCCATGCAGTATCAGTTGGCTGCATTCTTTTGGCAGCTAGCTTGTCACAAGTCCATCCAGATGCAAGGAGAGGGGAATTATACTACCTCTTAATGGGCAAATAAATGTCCAGGTTCTAGAAGAGTACATGGGGTGGAAGATACAATCATGGTCATGTGTAGAGAATACGACCTGTCCATACACAGCTTACACATAAACCAGGAGCCAAGGCTTAAGGAGGGCAGGGCAGTTTTATGTCAGTGATGAGTTAATGACCTCACCTGAGTCTCCTTGAGTACCAGCAACAGCCATGTGAGATACACTGAACAGGACTTCCCTAATGCTTCCTCATTTTCAGGTCCATTTGCTGTTATTAGCCTGATGATTGGTGGTGTGGCTGTTCGATTAGTACCAGATGATATAGTTATTCCAGGAGGAGTAAATGCAACCAACGGTACGGAAGCAAGAGATGCCTTGAGAGTGAAAGTCGCCATGTCCGTGACCTTACTTTCAGGAATTATCCAGGTAGTATTCACAGACAGAGAAATGGGCTGTCATTTGCTCAGTTAATAGATATCTTTTGAGCCCTCGTGGCTGGTCTACGTGGTGGGCAAGGTCAGCCAGCCAGGGTCCAGAGCTCAGAGTTCCAAGCGTTCAGGACACCAGTCCCCTGCATGCCTTCCTTAAAGTAGTGTTTATTAGGAACTAGCAAGCTTCAGTTGCATCCTTTAGAGATTCCAAAAAGCAAGAAAAGTTTAAAGCAGTAGTGATTAGTAATTAGTAATCTCTTATCTGCTTGGAAGAAACAGGAGGTGACCTTGACTAAACATGTCCCCAGTTCCAAGGAACAGGGAAAATACAAGTGTGCCCTCTGCTCCGTGGAGCTCCAAGCCACTGCAAACCTTCCCTTGTTTTCTGCATAACCACTGATGTGCAAACTACTTAACTGCTGCATATGCAAGGTTGTCCTGTTAGAAAGTGGTCCAGAAAGAACTTGTGTATGTGTTCTGTTGGTTTTAACTTCCTGATCCATCATGTGATTTATTTGTTTCTTTGTCATTAAAAAAAAAAAAAAAAAAAAGTTTTGCCTAGGTGTCTGTAGGTTTGGATTTGTGGCCATATATCTCACGGAGCCCCTGGTCCGTGGGTTTACCACTGCGGCTGCTGTGCACGTCTTCACCTCCATGTTAAAATACCTGTTTGGAGTTAAAACAAAGCGGTACAGTGGGATCTTTTCAGTGGTGTATGTAAGTAAGCTACTTCCTGACTTACTGCCGCTGCTTTTTCCTTCTGTATTTTCCCCTTCTCTTTTGTATCTCTTTTCCTTTCAAGGCTCACTTTTCTTTTTTCCAAGAATTAAAATAAAATGGAAAAGATTTCATTTTTCTAAGACTTTTCTGAGAACCCTACAAGGGGAATTAAACCTTAAAGTCCCATTTTATTAACATGTGATACCTCAGAAGGAATTTTTTATTAGATCTTTACTTGGTGCCTGCCTTCACCCTAATTAGCTGAAGAGACTGCTTTTTCTTAGAACCAAATTGTGTTTCTCTTTGGGAACTAATATGATTTAAAGGTATTATGCGAGAACACATCTCTCTGAAACTGCTTACTCAAGCAGGCAACAAAAGTATGTTAAATCTATAAAAGATTTAACTAACACTATTACCCATTTAATCTAATAAAATATATGTAGACCCTTACACCCAACTCTGAAAAAATATAAATTATTTGCAGGCGTATAGGGAACAATGGTGAGAACTCACTGTGTTGAAACTGAACAGAAACTCTAAAAATTCAATTATTTTTTCACATAGTGCAACATAATTAGCAATCAATAACTAAATATAGCTTTAAAACCCCCATACATCCTGCTTCTAAAAATCCTGCTTCTAAATATCCCCTGAATAAGGAAGAAATTGTCAAATAATTAAAAGCAAATAACAATTAAGATACTACATATCACAAGTTCTGAGCTGCTGCTAAAGCTAACCTTGCCCAGAAGGACCAGTGGCCTCTGTAGGTATTTCTGTGCCCGTCACCATGCTGGGCAGAGCAGTGGGTGAGCAGAGACGGCCCTTGCACTCTTAGAGCCCACAGTCCAAAGAGAAGACAGATAGTAAACCATTAATTGCATCAATATGTAATTAATTACAGATTGTCTTAAGTGCTATGAAAGTTGAATAGGGAGACATTTAGATTAGGAGTCTAAGAAAGTCACTGTGAGAAAGTGACGTTTAAATTGGGTCCTTGATTGATTAGGAATGGAATCAAGCTGTAGGAACATTCCCTAAATTAACAATTCTTCGTTTCCCATTGTTGATAACATGCTTCCTACTCTGAGATTTCTCTCAATGCCTTGTCAAAAAAGAAATAGAGCAGATAAGCACTGAGTGTGCTCTAGACATTGACAGGCAAAGTGTGGAGCCTGGGCTCGGTGTAACCTACTCTCCCAGAGTCCAGTGAGTACTGAACATATATTGGGTGCTGAGGCTGCAACCCTGGGATAAAATTAAGTGGCTTTCTTTTCTGAGTCTCTGGGCTTCTTCCAAACTTCAGCACTCTCTTGTCTTAGAAGTATTCCTGATCCCTCTTTGATCTGCTAACCATGACTTCCTTCTCCCTCTTTCACCTCCAAAAAATCTTTTCTGTGTATTTACCTTTGCATTATTTTGCTGATATCATCCCCTAATCCTTCCCCAATGCTCAGGACTCAGCATAAGGGATACTTTACTAAATATGGTAATAATACATTGAGCCAGAACCGAATAAAGAAAACACTATACTAAAGATTGTTGGAAGGGCACCTGGATGGCTCAGGCATTTGAAGTGTCTGACTCTTGATTTCAGCCTGGGTTGTGATCCCAAGGTCATGGGATCAAGCCTGGTGTCAGGCTCCGCACTGAGCATGGAGCCTACTTAAGATTTTCTCTCTCTACCTCTGCCCCTCTTCTCTACTCGTGCTCTCTCTCTCTCTCTCTCTCAAAAATAAAAACTAAACAAAAGTGTTGGATAAGAATTACAACCATAAATCTGTATGACTGAGTAAAAATGCCTCCTAATTGTTGAGAGAGAGAGATTTTAGTCTGAGAAGTTTAACTAGAAAGGTGCAGTGAGGGGATGGCTGGTGTGAATTCATGCACTAGTGTCTGTCTATTCAGGGGCCATTGCCTGATGTAAACATCCAGTGTTTGCTGTGTTACAGAGTACAGTTGCTGTGTTGCAGAATGTTAAAAACCTCAACGTGTGTTCCCTAGGCGTCGGGCTGATGGTTTTTGGTTTGCTGTTGGGTGGCAAGGAGTTTAATGAGAGATTTAAGGAGAAATTACCAGCTCCCATTCCTTTAGAGTTCTTTGCGGTAAGTGAACTTGGGTCACAGGTGCCTAGCCATTTGGGTGAGGGATTTGGACAAGGGAGGAGCAAGGAAGTTCTACCTTTTTTTCTCCCAGTTCTGCCAAGAGAAAGTTAGAATTTGTCAAGGAGAACTTTCACAAATACACGGACAACGAAGAAAATCTGTTAGGGTGGAGGCAGGGATGATTTTGAAAATCTAGATGAAGGCCATCCGTAAAAATTTTAATATGACTTACCTCTGAGTGATGAGTTGATGGAAGATTTTGCTTCCTCAAAATTTTTATTGTCTGATTATTTTATAAATGAACACCTATAACTTTAATCACTTGAAAAAATTAAGCTGTCTCCATTTTGAAAGGAGCAAGAGACAAAGGTTCCCAGACTTTCTTGCTTCCTGGCACTCCTGTGCCAAAAGAAATACCTAACAGTTCCATTTATTAAGTAGTTAGGTCCAAACAGTTTAATACATATTTACATCTAACAACTTGGGAACTATTATAAAAATAATGCACATGCATTGAAATACTAAATATTTATTACATTCTTAAAAGACCACAATTGCTTATTAACAATGTTACCTTATTATTGGTTCCCTGAAACAGTCACCACTGCGAGGGCCTGGCTGCCTGCCCTGGCCAGCCCTAATTCTCAACTGAGTGATCCACCCAGAAGGTTCTATAGCAACAGTTCTTCAAGATGAAGAAAATTGCTTTCTCTCCTTGCTATTTTTTCCTTGCACTTCAGTAGGGGTTGTATTTTACACACCAACTAAATCTATGCCCTGACCATCCAGGAGGGCTCACACACAGGAGCACTGTGACCCTGGCTGTAACTGAGAAGGGAGAAGGCCACTGCGGGGTGCTGGTGGAGGCCTCTCACCACAGTTGGCGCTGCCAGCAGGGTTGTGGATCCAAACATCCATTTTATAATGACACCCTGTCAGTAAACTACCCTCACAATACACTTGTCAGCATCCCTCGTTCATGCCACGTTAGCCAGAAACTCAACTACACAAGGCAAAGCCAGCTCCTGAAAGGTTTTATGGCTCTTTCTGTTCACAGTCAGCTAGCCAAACACCTCAGCACTGACCAGAGCAAAATAAAGAGAAAAGAATTCCAGACCACAAGGAAACTATAGGGTCCATTTTACTTTGGTGGGGAAGAGCCATTAGAAGTTAGGAATGCCAGGGGCGCCTGGGTGGCTTAGTCGGTTGAGCGTCCGACTTTCGCTTGGGTCATGATCTCGCGGTTCGTGGTTCGAGCCCCGCGTCGGGCTCTGTGCTGACTGCCAGCTCAGAGCCTGGAGCCTGTTTCAGTCTGTGACTCCCTCTCTCTCTGACCCTCCCCTGCTCACGCTGTCTCTCTCTCGTCTAGAAATAAATAAAAATATTAAAAAAAAAAAAAAAAAGAAGTTAGGAATGCCAGAAGCTAACTATAATTCTTTTCAAACCGCAAGTTGAACGGGAGAGTAGATTTTGGCTTGGCTAACAAATGATTTGAAACTCACTTTTGTGGCGGTTGAATTTTCATCGATAAAGGCACCTGTGGATTTGTGTCTGTTTTAGGTGGTGATGGGAACTGGCATTTCAGCTGGGTTTAACTTGCAAGAGTCGTACAATGTGGATGTCGTCGGAAAGCTTCCTCTGGGGTAGGAGAACAGTTTTAAGTGACGGTGTGACTTGAGTAACCAGATAGATCTATTATCGTTTTTAACTCCTGCTTACAATAAAAAAATCTCTTTTTCTACATACCAAAAAGTTGAAGCTTTGGAATTTTTTGCTTTTTAGCATGTATGTGGCTTTGTGTGTGTGTGTGTGTGTGTGTGTGTTAAAAAATACATAAAATTTATCATTTTCATCATTTTGAAGTATATAGTTCAGTATGTTAAGTATATCCACATTGTTGTGAAATAGATTATCTGTATCACATTTTGTTTATTCATTCATCCAACAATGGACATGGCTGTGCAAATATGTCTTCAAGACCCTACTTGTTCTTTTGTATAAATACTCAGAGATGGGATTGCTGGCTCATCTGCTAGTTCTATTTTTAACTTTCTAAGGAACTTCCATTCTATTTTCCATAGTGGTTACACCATTTTACATTCCCAAAACAGTGGGATGCAGTGTTTTCTTTTATTTAGCACTTCTTGGTTTTTAAAATCTCTCCTTAGGCAGCATAGGAACTAAGAGCAAAAAGACCTAAATCTAGCCAGACAGTTACTAGCTGTGTGACCTTGGGCAAGTCACGTCTCCTCTCAGAGCCCCAGTCTCTTCCCCTCCAGTTAGCACGGCAGTCAATGCCTGTCTTGAGGGTAACTGTGAAGCTCCTGGAGCTAGTGTGCATAAAACACCTGGCACGCACCTGGGAGCATTTAAAACATAACTAGAAGTTCTGTGGCTCACTATTTCAACAAAGTTCCTAGTTTCTAGTTTCTTTTTCAAATTTTTTCAGATTTTCTATTTCAAATGATACATTCTTCATTACTATTCTTTTACCGAATTCCACATATACAAACTTTTACTGTTCTCAGGGTGCCTGGGTGGCTCAGTAGGTTGAGTGTCCTATCTTGGTTTTGGCTCAGGTCATGGTCTCGTGGTTCGTGAGATCAAGCCACATGTTGGGCTCTGTGCTGACAGTGCAGACCCTGCTTGTGATTCTCTCTGTCTCCTTCTCTCTCCTTCTCCCCTGCTCACAAGCTCTTTCTCTCTCCCTCTAAATAAATAAACACTTTTTAAAATTTTACTATTCTCTCTATATTTGAAGGAGCTAGAGTAACTATGAGCTTCTCCTCACCTCACTCTGCTCCTCTCTTACATGCTCTGCCTGTCTCTGCATCTCTCTGTGTGTCTCTGTCTTTCTCTCTTTTGTACTGTCTCTTTTCCTTGCCACCTCTCTTTCCAGATGAGCAGAATCAGATGTTTGCCCAGGTGCTGGGCATTTATGAACCTGGCCTTGCCTCTGGTCCCATCTAAGACTCTCCCGGGAGGCACAGGGGCAGAAACTGCTCTTGAAGCCAGAGTTCACCCCCAACACCCAGAGCAAATGTTGAAGATGGAAGAATGCAGTCCACTTCAGAACAATGGATTATGGTTATGAACATACCACTTAAGATTCCTTATAAAGGTATAGCCCAGCAATAACACTTGCTTTTCTATTTGGACTTACAACTCATAAAATTCTTTTATACCCAGCACCTCAGCTGGTGCCCACAATAACACTATTGACGTATATGCCATCCCCACTTTACAAGATAAAAAAGTTCATCGATTTAGCATATGTTTATTGGGTGCCTGGTGTGTGCCAGGGACATGGCCGTTAAAAACAAAAGTAGCCATGCAAGCAAAATGTGTCTGCCTTCATGGAGCCTCCAGGAGAACGGGGGAAGGAGAGAGTGCTGTGAAGATGAGGGAGGCCAGTAAGTGATGGGCGGGGCTCGGGTGACTGTGTAAGGTAGGCTATCAGAGAAGGTGACATTTGAGAGACACAGATGAGATTCAGTGACTCACTGGTGAGCCCCAGCCTGGACCCAGAATGCAGTCATCCCATACTCAGTGGTTGGCTGTTTCCATTACCTCACATCTGGGTCTCTAACATAAGTAGTCATGTGATAAACATTAGTCTTTGACTAGATCCAATAGATAATTCTATTCAGTTACCAGTCACAGATAATTTGATTACTTGTGAACTCTTACATTTAGATTTCTCCTTTTAAAAATCCACCAACCACCACAATTTCTACCCAGATCTTCCTTTCCCTGTTGCACTGCACCCAAATACGTTGCTTTTCCTCCATGTGTGAGAACCATACTATAAAGGAAAAACAGATTTTACCTTTTCTAAAACTTGACTACCCTTTCTGGAACTTTGCCCAAAACAGAGCAGGAAACAAAGAATGCTTCCCTAACTACATATCTACATAAAATCATACTCTTTCAGTTATCTGTGAGTCTTACTGCTGGATAACAAATAGCTCCAAAACAAAGTCTTAAAACAACATCCGGTTATTTGCTCACAATTCACAATCTAGGTAGGGCAGCTGATGCCCCTAGGGGCCTGTCACACAGCTGCAGATGTCTGAAGGTGTGTCTGGTGCCAGAGACTATACGAGGGCTTCACTCACGTGTCTGTTACCTCGGGTGGAGAGCTGCGGCGGTGGATGGTTGGCTGCCAGCTTCTCCCCACGTGGTGACTCCAGCAGGGTAGCCAGACTCTTTCGTGTGGTGGCTCAGAGAAATGAGACAGAAAGGCAGGAGGTGCCAGGCTGCTAAAGATGCTCATATACCTTCACTTGTACCACATCCAATTGGTCGAAGCCAATCACAAACCAGCCCAGTTTCACTAGAGGAAAAACAGATTCCTCCTCTACATGGGGGAAGCAGCACCCACAAGTATGGGAGGAATGGTTGCCATATTTGAAAGCAAATTACTACATTTATCTATACACACATAGTACAATGTCCAGAAAGTGACCATTGCCTTTTTATGTTTATTTTTGAGAGAGAGTGTACGCGGGGGAGGGGAAGAAAGAGAAGGGGACAAAGGGTCCAAAACAGGCTTATGCTGACAGCAGAGAGCCCGACTCAGGGCTCATGAACCATGATATCATGACCTGAGCCGAAGTTGGATGCTTAACCCACTGAGCCACCCAGCTGTCCCGACAGTTAACTCTTAAAGATCCCAGCCATGGCAATATACCCTGTTTCTTGGTTTACTTTCCTTAACTCATTCCAAAATAAATTCTTTTCTCACATATTCTTATTCTGCACTCCCAAATCTGCTGCAAGGGCTTCCCTCTTGGCTAGTGCTTCCATAGCGAAGAATAAGGGAAAGACAATAAGTTTTATAATCAGAACTCCTGGGTTTGACTCCCTGCTCTGTCTTGGGTAAATTACTTAACATCTGCAAGGATCCATTTCTTTTCACCTATAACTTACGATAATAATGGCACCTAACAAAATTGTTGTGAGGACAGATGACATAGGTCAAGTATATAGCACATAATATAGGTTTAATATACATTTATTTTTCCCTTCTCCCCCTCCCTTTCCCTTACCCCAGAACCTGAGACACCCCCTTCAGCACTGGGATGTGACACAGTATGAGAAATAGGTACAGGGAGGCAGGTTCTTAATGGTTTTTGTGGTACTTGGTGGATGAGCCATTTGACCTTAGTTTCACTATGCCTCATTTTCTTCACTTGTAATTGGGGAATATAGTGGTGGCTAGCTCACAGGGCTAGCGGAGATAAATAAGCACAGGACTTGGCAGAGGAGAAGCATCTAAAAAATTTGTTGGTATTGTAAAAAAAAAAATATATATATATATATACATATATGTATAGTACATGAATTTATTATTGTTACTATTGAGACCAGTGTCTTGAATTGGATCAGGTGCCCCTGAAAACCTCACTTGCCCCTTCCCCCATTCCATTTTAGGGAATCTCTATTCTGTTCCTTTAGGATAAAGGTTCCAAACTGTAAGAATGGACCATAAAAACTGTGTTCTCTGTTGGCCCCTCCAATTGCCCAGGACTCCCAGATGAGACCCAAGGAGTATAATCTTCATTGTTCTTTTCTCGTGTTAGAGACTCACCTCAAGGGGGCCTGAGAAGCAGAGTCTTTACTTGAAATAACAAGGGGGAGCAGTGTGGACAGTAGTTCTCCTCTGAGATGGCCCTTGTTGAACACCCTCCCTGCCCTGGAACTTGGGTTCGAATGTCTTGTGCCACCTGAGCGCTCTGCTGACCCTCTCCTCTTCCTGTTCTGTGTCTTACTTAACACCTACCATACAGGGTGTCATGAGGTATGATGTTACTCCTTTTCTAAATGGCATCTGATGTCTGCTGATAACCCATTCAGGTAGAAAGCCGGCACTCTAGCGTTGGGGCCTAAAAAGAGCCTCTTTTTAGGTGTGTCCAAGAGGGCGCTCCTTTTTGCCAAACCAGAGCAAACAAGTATCCAAGCATTGATCCCCTCATTTGCAGATGATGCCCTTCTGAAATGCACCTCTCTGGTTGCATGTTTTTCCCTAGTGGTCACAATATTCGGGTTAAAGTCAGCTTGACCTTTCAGGCTACTACCTCCAGCCAACCCGGACACCAGCCTCTTCCACCTTGTGTACGTGGATGCCATCGCCATAGCCATTGTCGGATTTTCAGTGACCATCTCAATGGCCAAGACCTTGGCAAATAAACATGGCTACCAGGTGGATGGCAATCAGGTAAAAATCATTAATTCCCTGCAGTTGTTTCACAGTGGTTTAATCATCCTGCTGATTGTTGGATTGTTGGATTTCTCTGTCTTGTTAGAAAAACTTCTCGTTGGATGATGGAGGTGTTTGAAACATGTATTTATGCAACACTACAATTTTTTTCATTATTTATGTGCCTTAGATCATCGGAACACTGAGGTGCAGAGTCCTACCTCATGTCACAGGTGGGGGTCCTGGAGGAAGATGAAACCTCTGATCGGAGGCTCTCAGTCTGACACACACTGACACATGTTGGCCCTATTTTTAAAGCTCACAGCCTAGGAAGCAAATGTTGTTTTGCTAGAACCGTTTCTACTCTATAGGAAGACTTCTCTGTTCATTAAACTTGGAACATATGATTCATCACTCAAACTCCACATTATATTCTTTGCCACCTCCTTTTATAACTACCAACTTACTATCTACAGATAAGGTACTTAATCTGAATTCCATGAGCCATCATTTCAGCATGACAATGACTATTTTAACACACTGTGTTTCTAAGAGAAGATTAAATGCTCCGTGTTCACACAAGACACAGTGATCCAACAAGGAAGACCGGAAGTATCCCTGAGAACAGGAATCATTCACTGGTCCCAGGAGGACACTGGCATGTGTCAGAGAGCAAGAGACCAAGACATTTAAAAGATGCCAACGGTTCTATACACCAGTAACTTACTCATAACAAAAGTATTTTGTCCCTTTGCTGCAGTTTTCTTTAAAAAAACAAAAAACGCATTATTCGTGTAGGAGAGTGTGTTTGGGAAAGAGGGGACTAGATAGGGAGTGCAGTTTGTATCCCTGACAGAACAAGAACTCTTAAGTCTTTTTCTCCCACCTTAACTTATTCAATAATCCCTAATTTAAATTCACGCTAAACAAACTCTTTTATCTAAAAAGAGAAGGAAGAGACAGCCTCTGCTGTTGAAAATGTGTATTAAGTGGGCCATTGTGCCTCTTTTCCTGAAGAATGACTGAACTCTTGTGTGCTTTGTTTCCCCCTGGAAAAGGAGCTCATTGCCCTGGGCCTGTGCAATTCCATTGGCTCGCTCTTCCAGACTTTCTCAATTTCATGCTCCTTATCGCGAAGCCTCGTTCAGGAGGGAACTGGAGGGAAGACACAGGTGTGTACACAACTGGCCTCTGAGGACGGGTGATTTGGGGTGGTAAACTTTAAAATTTTTTGTAAGTTGATTTATTTTGAAAGAGAGGGAGAGCTGGGGAAGGGTGGAGGGAGGGAGGGAGAGAGAGAGAATCCAAGCAGGCACTGCCAGCCTACAGCTCAACGTGGGGTTCAATCCCACAAACCATGAGATCATGTCCTGAGCCAAAATCCAGAGTAGGACACTTAACCGACTAAGCCATCCAGGTGCCCCTGGGGTGGTAAACTTTAATCCCTTGATTCTTTTCTGAACCCAAACAAAGCTGCTCTGTGTGAAGATTGATGCTCCATTGAGCTGTGTAATGAATCAGAGAAAGGCATGAATGGTGGAAGCAAATCCCAGGAACTGAATCTACAGGAAATAGCTATATTCTCCAGTTAAACTGAAAATTCTACAACACTGCTTCTACCAATAAGCCTCAAAGTTCAGACATGTTGTCATGAAAGCCTGGGAACTGGATATGGTCATGATACCAGCACGGTCCAGTAGAACCTACTGCAGTGACAGGAGTGTCCACTATTTTCCACCATCCAATATGACAGCCATGAGCCACCTGTGGCCCTTGAGCACTTGAAATGTGGGCAGTGCAACCAAGACCTGAATTTTTTTAATTGTATTTAATTTTTATTTTAAAAATGTAATAGCTGCATGTGGTTAGTGGCTAACACATCAGGCAGGAGAGTCTCATTTGACTATTGTCAGTCTTGGGTCAACACCATTATCTCCTTTCCTTCACCCCTGGCAAAGGCATTTTGAGCAGGGTGTTTAATCATTTCGGCTTCTATATAAAAGCTTTAAGAGAGGGATGCCTGGGTGGCTCAATTGGTTGAGTGTTTGACTCTTGATTTCCGCTCAAGTCATGATCTCAAGGTCATGGGATTAAGCCCTGTGTGGGATTCCACACTGAGCATGAAGCCTGCTTGGGTCTCTCTCTTTCTCTCTCTCGCTCTCTCTCTGTCTCTCCCCATCTGTCCCTCTTCCCCACTCACGCTCTGTCTCTAAAAAAAAAAAAAAAAAAAAAAAAACAAATAACAAATAAAAGCTGTAAGAGAAACCAAACTTCAGAAAGGGAACAGGAAGGAATATTGGTGGATGTAATAGTTTTGATGACTTGTTTGAACCCATATTTTCTTGATCTTCCTACAGTGATTATCAAAACACTAAGATTACCCTCTGCCCCCCCTCTTATTCGTGTCTCCTCAAAGCCCCTTCCATATGTCTTCTCTCATTCAGCTTGCAGGTTGTTTGGCCTCGCTAATGATTCTGCTGGTCATATTAGCCACCGGATTCCTCTTTGAATCGTTACCCCAGGTGTGTAGCTTAGACTTGGTGTGATGTTTTTCCAAGTGTAGAGATTTCTTTGTTTTATTTGTTTGTATTTTTGTGACTATCTCATGGGTTTTTACTGTAACCCTAGCAGGGTGGTGTGAGAAGGGGCCAAGGCTGGGACCAAGATCCTGCTCCACAATCTAAAATTCTACCCCACAGTCTGGGACCTTGGGAAAGCCATCTCAATGTTGCTGGGTCTCTGTTTCCTTGTCTGCAAAGTAGGGGGTCGGACTGATTAATCTCCAAGGTCGCTTCACTCTTTGATCTTCTGTGGCCTTATACTCCATTAAAAATCTGAGATGGCCTTCATTCCTAAGACATTTGTTTGCTGATCTATTTACTCTAGTAGAGATCAGGAACAATACAGAGTGGAGAAAATCATAATCTAGGAAGACCATGGGTGAACTGATGCCTCAAGTATCAAGTTTAATTCTGAACCTCTTGACCACCATGCAGGTTTGCTACTAGGATATAAGCCTGGTTTTCCAAGGCCCATTTTAGCTAACCGAGTCCTGAAAACCCAGGTGTTCATGGCTCCAAACGTCCCATCACTGCTGCATGGGAAGTGAGTGGGGAGAGGACGTGGGGAGGGCAGGAGGACAGTGAGGAGCCAGCGAAGGGGACTCTGGGGACACAAGAAGAGAGGCACCTGTCATGTGCTCTGTTTCAGGCTGTGCTGTCGGCCATTGTGATTGTCAACCTGAAAGGAATGTTCATGCAGTTCTCAGATCTCCCTTTTTTCTGGAGAACGAGCAAAATAGAGCTGGTAAGTTACATAGATGATTGTTAGGTTAATATGTCACAGCAACACGTGGATGATGCTAATAAAAATGTGAGAAAGCTCAATTAGTGCAGTTATTTGTTCTGTGTAGTATCAAGTTAGGCAAGGTTAGGTACTGTGTGTGTGAGAGAGAGAGACCCTTTGGAAATTTTTAGCATGATTCTACATAAAGCTTTCTGTCTTTTGTTTAGACCATCTGGCTTACCACTTTTGTTTCCTCCTTGTTCCTGGGATTGGACTATGGTTTGATTACAGCTGTGATCATCGCTCTGCTGACTGTGATTTACAGAACCCAGAGGTGAGTGCACAAATTGGGATGGATGTGATTGCCCTGCCTGAAATTGCAGTGTTGACTTTAAATATATTGTGTTTGCCAACTGACGCCATTAGACTGTAAGCATCTTGATTGTGGAGGTGATGTTCCCGGCATCCAGTACGGGGCTTATAGTGGGTATTCTCTGCAAGCTTGTTGAGAGAATGCACCCAGAAAAACAGCTAACGTTTGTGTTATATATCCTGACTCACAAAGCATTTGTGCATACCTGCTAAGAGGCACCAGGGCATTGAGGCAGGACCATGGAATGTCAAATCAAAGACCCTGAGCCACATTCTGCTTTGCCAGCCCCTCCAACATGGAACAACTCACTCTGCTAGGCCTTACTTTCTCATCCACACAACAGCAGAAATAAGCCTAGTACATTGGCTCTGATAAGGTAATATGAGGTGCTCAGGAAGTAGTATCTATCATCATTACAGTATCCAGCTTGAGCCAGATTGCCCTATAAGAAGGGGGTTTTCCAAAAATAATGTTTAAAATCTATTCAAACCAAAGTGAAGAAAACTTCTAGGCTAATTTGAGATTTTTCGTTTTCTCCCCACACCTCAGCTGACCACCACCCCCATGGGCCAGAGCCTCTTAGAGGAAACAAAAAGAAAAACTCCTCCCCTACTTTAGAATAAGAGTAGGAAGACAGTTCTGTCTACTCAGTGAATGAGAATTTGAGTTGCACATTCCCTGGCATAGCTTGAACTTAACACAGTTCACTTTTGCCCCCATCTTTAAGTGGCCAAGTCTTTTGTCCCAAACAGATTGGGAGAAGAGGGGTGTGAGTGTGTGTGTACGGTCTGTGTAGACTGAGGTATATGTGCTGTGTATGTGTGTGTCTTGCCATTTGGGGCAGGGTGTAGGGGCATGCCTGGAATGTCACTGGGATTGTGATACATGGGAGCCCTCTGCACAGGTACCATACAAGGATCAAATGTCCCTGAGTTCACTAGCAAGTCCATACGTGACACATAAACATGCCAGACCTCATGTTTAAACCACATACGGGGCCTCAATACACAGGTATTTTAACACACTCTCTCTCTATCTTCAGTCCCAGCTACAAAGTCCTTGGACAGCTTCCTGACACTGATGTGTATATTGATATAGACGCATATGAGGAGGTAGGACATTTTTCTGTTTTCATGGTTGTAAGCATGTCATGTGATCAGCTGACTAAATATTATTTTTACATTGGGGCTGGAAAAGAGGGAGGTGTAGTAGTCTGAGCAAAAAGCTTGCACTTCAGGGCGCCTGTTTGGCTCAGCTCATTTGGTGTCCAACTCCTGGTTTTGGCGCAGGTTGTGATCTCATAGTTTGTGGGACCAAGACCCCGTCAGGTTCTGCGTTGACAGCACGGAGCCTACTGGCAATTCTCTCTTCCTCTCCCACTCTCCCCCCCCCCAAATAAATAACTAAATGCTTTTAAATCTTATCAATGAAATGTGATGATGTGTACTTTCAAGGCTTTATTCTTGGAACTCCTTTCTCCAGGTAGGGTAGAGTGACACAGTTTTATCTGAACACTGTAAGGGGGCCTTTTGTGACTTCTGTGTTGATTTTGAGGTTGCAGGAGGGAGGCAAGTGCAGTTTGACTCTGAAATATTTCCAGGAGTTAAATTCATTACATTTTCTTTTTCAGGTGAAAGAAATTCCTGGAATAAAAATATTCCAAATCAATGCCCCAATTTATTATGCAAATAGTGACTTGTATAGCAATGCTTTAAAAAGAAAGGTGAGTCACATGAAGTGGATTATTTTTGAGGGGACTTGTGAATTGACAGGGATGTGAGAAACACTTAAATGTCTTCTTCATATACCTTTTATATTATATCATTCTCTCCTTCTCACCCACCCTCTCTCTCTCTTTATTGTGGTAGAATGCACAGAAAATTTACCATTTCGGTAAATTTACCATTTAGCAGATGGAACTGAGTACAATTCACACTGTTGTGCACACAACATCACCAGTCATTCTTTTTTTATCATATATATATATATTACCTTCTCAAAAAAACTTTAAGACAAAGAGTGAAAAAATAATTTTAGGTTTCTTACTCTTCAGATCATGTGAGTTCCTCTGGTCATGATTAAAACTTGACCCCACACTGCCCAATGTATAGAAAAATCTCCTAGTCAATCCACAGTCTCTTAAATATAAGAATCTGAGAGGGGCGCCTGGGTGGCTCTGTCAGTTAAATGTCTGACTTCCATTCAGGTCATCATCTTACAGTTTGTGGGTTTGAGCCCTGCATTGGGCTCTTTGCTGACAGCTCAGAGCCTAGAGCCTCTTTCAGATTCTGTGTCTCCCTCTCTCTCTTCCCCTCCCCTGCTCACACTCTGTCTCTCTCTGTCTCAAAAATAGATAATTTTTTTAATTTAAAAAAAGAATATGAGAGTAAGTTTGAAAAATGATACTTTAAACATGCTCTTCAATACTTTAGTATACTCACCACACCATCCTGCTAAATACACACAGGAATAAGGAAAATTACTCCTATTCCTTTAACGAGAGAGTGACTCAGTTCATGATGTCTAAGGGAAAGGTAGGGGGGGGTGATTACTTGGCATAGAAAACAGTCAAATGGGGGGATCTGAAGAATGATTGCATTTGGTGGGTTCCTAGAGCCAAGAAGTGATTTTGCATGTATTGCCCTTCTGTAAAGACTGGAGTGAACCCAGCACTCATAATGGGAGCAAGAAGAAAGGCCATGAAGAAGTATGCTAAGGAAGTTGGAAATGCAAATATGGCCAATGCAACTGTTGTCAAAGTGGTGAGTGGTCTCTTCGTTGTAATTTTCCCTCCTCTTGATCTACACCCCCCCACCTTTATTCACGATGGAAGCCTTAACACCACAGGAAGCCCCTAAAATAGGAAAGCTTAGAAACAGTTTAAGTAGCCGCTGTAATATTAAAGATACATAATAAAGTCAGCCATGTGAACACTTCTGAAAAAAGTAGGGATATGAACCCTGGAAAACATTTGTTTAAATTAAGATCACACAGTACCTTAATAAATTTTTACCATGGGTGATTTATCATAGAGTCATTCAGCTGACAGTAATAAAACAAAACAAAACAAAACCCTCAAAGGCTGGATTTTGCTGTTCAAGCTTATGGTAACTTGTGGTCATGCTTAAGTTAATGGAACTATTTTAGAAGTGAGGGGGAAATGGCTATGAAGACAAGGAGAGTGGATTTCATTGGACAGAAAAAAAAGGAGGGGGAAGAGATGCAAAGAAACTGAGCTAACACTGAATGTTTCATACACATCCTTTTGCTGTCACATCACAAGGCTGGGATGGGGCAGTCATTGTAGACGAGGTCTGGTAGAGTCAGCAGCTTGACAATATGGGCACTAATTTTCCCACATAAATCTTTCTCAGCACTAGAACATGAGCTGTTCATAGACTTCTTTGGTTTAACATTAACAGGATGCAGAAGTAGACGGAGAAGATGCTACAAAGCCTGAAGAAGAAGATGACGAAGTAAAATACCCCCCGATAGTCATTAAGAGCACATTTCCTGAAGAGCTGCAAAGGTTTATGCCCCCAGGAGATAACATCCACACCATCATTCTGGATTTTACACAAGTCAATTTTATTGACTCTGTTGGTGTAAAAACTCTGGCTGGGGTAAGCATTATCTTAAATGAGTCGTTTTCGTATCTCTGTTGCCATCAGTAAAATGAGAGTTGAACTAGGGTCCCTTTTCAACTCTTAAAATACTTCCATGTCATTGCTTTTTTCCACTTTTGATGGTGGAAAACTTCAGAACCATACAAAAGCAAGGAGCATAGTGTAACGAAGCCCTATGTAACTTATCACTCAGCTTCAACAGTTCATCAGTTAATGGTCAGTCGGGTTTCATTCAGCCCACACCCGCTTTCCACTTCTCTTTGAAGCGCATCCCAGTCATCATTCACCTCCCGGTGAATATTTCAGGATATTGCTCTATGAGGAGAGGATTCTTGTAAAAGTCAGTACCATAATACCTTTATTACACCTACATAAAATTTAACATGAGTTCCTTGGGAGCCCTCATTATTACTGTCCATATAAAAATTATATGCAAAATTAGTTTTAAATGATTAGCTCGAAAATGCATAATTTTTTAAAATGGGTAATTACAGAAGCACCGTAGATCAGGTGAGTGAACTAGTGTCTTGTATCAGGAAATACATATTGGTAGAAAGAGGCTTGCATCTGACACAGAGTCAAGAGAAACTAAACTTTATTTCAACATTATTACAGATTGTAAAAGAATATGGAGATGTCGGTATTTATGTGTATTTAGCAGGATGCAGCGGTGAGTACACTTCTAGAATGGGGAGAAGCTTTAACATTTTAGTTTTGTTTCTCTTTTTTTAAAAAATCTTTATAAAAGTTTGGAAAGATTTGCCCTTAATTTTCATCTTTGGTGAAAATGAAAATTATTCTAAAAATCACTCAAAAGCTAGCTTTGAAATTAGCCACTTCCGGGCACCCCATTCACTGGGCCATTGTGGCAGACCTCCTGACCTGGACTTGGAACAGTGGGCTGGTACATTTAATAATTATTTAATGGCTGCCTTAAACATAGTTCTATAAAATCATTTAGGTTTTTCCATACGATGCCTGCTATTTTTGCTTTATATTAAATTTTGGTTGAATCGGTGCTTGAAAATGAAATCTACACAAAGCCATTGCTCTTCATCTGCCAGATTGGCGAAAAGGAAAAATGTCCACCAGCGTGCTCTGTAGGCGCCATGGGGCTGTATGTGCTCGCAGACACTGCTGGCGGGAGCGCAGAAGGGAGCAGCCTCTGTGGAGGGCAGGGCAGCCTGACCTTTCCCAACCACAGATGCACTTAACTTTTAACCCAGCCAATCCAGCAACGTGCTGCATGTACTCAAACTGACACGTGTATGTGGTGGATCATCTGTAAGCAGTTCTAGAAACTGGTTACTGTCTATAAAACAAAAGACTGGAAAAAACTTAAACATCAAAGAAAAAGGACCAGTTCAATAAACTAGGGCACATCCACACGATAAAATATCATATAGTGGCAAAAAAAATTTTTAAGTAAAAAATATCGAGAATAATCTATAATGTTAAAAATACTTTGGGGCAAGACAAGGGGGAAAATAAGAATATATATATGTATTTACTTATATCTGCATAAAGAAAAGCTGAAAGAAAATAGTTTCCTGCAACTGGGGTGTGATATCATGGGAACAGGGATTGAAGTGACACTTTTTGCTGTATCACTACTATAGTATTTAAGCAACATGAGTGTTAACTTTTTTTAATGTTCAACACTGATCCCCAGGGTGTGGGCTAATTTTCTTTTCTTCCTTTATAGCACAAGTTGTGAATGACCTCACTCAAAATCGATTCTTTGAAAACCCTGCCTTAAAGGAGCTGCTGTTCCTCAGCATTCACGATGCGGTTTTAGGCAGCCAGCTTCGGGAGTCACTCGCCCAACAGGAAGCCTCCGCCCCCCTTCCACAGGAGGACTCCGAGCCCAACGCCACTCCCACTCCAGAAGCTTAGATGAGGAACCCAGCTGGGATAGTGTACGAGCCTCTGTGAAATTACACATTTACACATTTTAAGTAGTAGACACTAGACTTTTTCCTCCTAAGGGTAAATACTAGTAGTCAAGGCTTGACTTGGAGGGTGAATGACACATAGCAAGATGTATCTTACTTGTGTTTTTAATTGACTTATTTCAAAGATAAATTGTCCCCTTCCCTGCATTTATTGTGCAGTGACATTCCTGTTAGTCTTTAGTGTTACCTGTTAGCTGATTGTTCCAGAAGTTATTTCCTTTAAGAGCTTTACCTACATATGCTGTCACCAGATGGGTAGCATCCTTGCTTTGGTACTTGTTGGTGTACAGACTTTCTGTAATCAGAGCTGTCTAACAGAATGGGCAAACCCACAATTTTCTAGAAGTTTAACCTTTTATTACTAAAGCATTATGAGTGCAATCAAAAAATAGAAAAAATAAACAAAAGTAAGAAAATAAAAACATTACACTGCTACCACTTAAAGATTATCACGAACACCTTAATGCATATCCTTCCAGATCTTTTTCTGTGCATACATACTTATATCTTTTAACCAGAGTAAGATTATATTCTGTATAGTGCTCTGTAAGTCATTTTTTTCAGTCAACAATCCTTGCTTCCTCATTCCAGAATAGTTTTACTTCAGATAGTGTTCACAATTCCCCAGTTGTCCTCAAATTTGTAGTTGCTCTGTCCAGACTAGTGTCCATTCTGTGACCTAACACTGGTTAGTCCCTTCACATCCCCTTAAATCTGTCTTAATCTAGTACAGTCCCTTTTATGACATTGAGTTGTTTAAGAGAGACTGGGGCACTTGTCAAGGTGTTATTTTGCTTGTCCCTTTATTTCCTGAATTACCTGTAACCTAAAAGTTTTATCTAAAAGCTTCATGGATTTGAATAAATTTTTTTTCTTGAATATATCTTAGATGAGATACATGCTTTAAATCTCATCACATCAGAAAACACAAACTATCTAGTTGACTTACCACTAAATGATACTAAGGTAGATCACTGGATTAACATGGTAGCTTAATCCCCCCACTCATTGTGACTTGTGAGTTTTCTCTCTGGTTTTCCTTTGGCATTGAATCACTGTCCAGTTTCCCATTAGCCATTCACCCACATGTTTTAACAGTGATAATCCTTGCCTAAATCAGTAATTTTATTAAAGTTTGAAAATTTTTTTCCATTTCTCTCATTTCTTCACCATTTATTAGTTGGTGTCTCTTTGTAAACTACAGTTATCCCTCCTCAACCTGAGCTATTTGATCATTCTTAAATACATTTATTACTGGAAAGGCAGGTTATATTCAATGATCAACTTCAAAGTAAGGGGCTGGTTTAACGGATGATGACAAATTAGGCTCTTACACATTTTTTTTTTTTTGGTGTAATCATAGGCTCACGTATTTTTTACAGTTTTAATGTTCCTCAGTCCATTGCAGTTCTTCTCTTTGGTGCTCATTTGTCACAACTGTGACCAGTAGGCACCCTTAGAAGTTCTGTTGCTGCAAATAGTAAAGTAACCTTAAAGACCATGTATTTAAGAAAGCTAACTCCTAGGTATATCTTAAAATCTTCCTTTGAAGTCCATAATAGTTATCAGTTAATTCTTCATCAAACCCAGGGGTAAGCCTATGAGTGAGTCAAATGCTTATTTCAAGCACTCTTCATAGTTGTTCAAAAGGAGTGGGGGAGAACTGGAAGCCGATTCCTCAGCAAAAGGTCTTGTTCTTACAGTTCTAACAACTACCTTACTCCAAATCAAAGCACAAGTATTAGCCAACCTGCCTAAAGCCTCCTTGGCTAAGATTTTCTGCTAATAGTCTGTTTTTAAAGTATGTTTTCTTACTGATTTCTTTTAGTTTTCATGAAGAAAACACTGCCAGGAGAAAAGTGGTCAGATCCCAGGAGGGAACCATGTTAGCATGGTTCTACTCCAACCAAACCCTGTGATTTGTTTGCTTTAACTATCAGGTTTCGCAGTGACTTTACTAATTTAATTCAAAGAGGACCCCCTCCTTTCTAATCAGTACTTAGTGGAAATCTAGAGTGAAATTAGATTTTCACACTCAGTTACTTCCTTTGCAATCATCACACACAAGATCAGATAAATCTGCATTCTGACACAGACTGCCTTCTGAAGGAGCACATACTTGTAGCACCTCAGCTGTAGCAGGAGCTTTCCTAAGAGGGCCTGCACCATTTCCGCCATTAATGCCGAACTTACGGGTTCTAAACAATGTTATAAAATACTTCATTGCATTTACTTTAGCACTCGTCTTCATCAAATGCTTTACATCCAGGAGATATTCACATCCTAGCTGTTGATAAATTGAAAGTAGGGTACAAAAATAATATTTATCTGTATTTACAGATGTGTATTTAACTTTTCCGATCCTAAATTTTCAACCTATTTTGATGTTTTTTGTTTGTTTTATTTATTTCTGAGACAGAGAGAGAGAGACAGCATGAGCAGGGAAGGGTCAGAGAGAGAGGGTGACACAGAATCCGAAACAGGCTCCAGGCTCTGAGCTGGCTGTCAGCACAGAGCCCGACACGGGGCTCGAACTCACAAACCGTGATAGCATGACCCGAGCCAAAGTCGGATGTTTCACTGACTGAACCACCCAGGCACCCCTCAACCTATTTTGAATAGATTTTTACCATGTACCTAAAAAAGCACTGAAGTCTTAGTGAAGGAAAGTCTGTTTTTGTTTCAGCATGCCTCTGAGGACATAAGAATGCATTTCAAAATGTTAGGGGCTCCTGGGTGGCTCAGTTAGTTAAGCAACTGACTTTGGCTCAGGTCATGATCTCATAAAATGCTTTATCTATATGTAAATATGTTGGAATGTTTTACTTAAAATTATTTAATGTAGTAGAAAATTTCCTGAACTTTTTTTACTTTGTTTGCCTCTTTGTTCTTTTTCCTGGACCCTAATAGCCACTAGCGTGTGCTTCCTATGTGTCTCAGCCCTGGTTCAAATTCAGCGTCTTATTGCCCTGTCAAAAGTGCGCATAATCCACAAGAATAGATGTAAGGACTTGGCTGGTCTTATTTTATGACAATATGGGAGAGCCCAGTCTTCAGAAAGGTCCCATATAGAGAAGTTCTTTTGTCTTTTTAAGATCCTACACGATAGGATAGTGGTTGATTTCTGCCTCATGGATGGATGGAATGTGAAGAATTGTGAACCAGGACCCAGGAATTAATTCATGTCATAGACATGGTCTCTGTATAATGGCAGCTTATAGTGGGATCCCATTTGCCAGTCACATCTGCAGTGGGACTCAGAGAAACAAGGATATAAATCCTCTGCAAGCCATGGGAGTAGTTCATTTTATAGTTTTCAGGTAATATCTAAAATATCCACTCCGTGTGGTTTGATCCTGTATTCTTACCTATTTAACAGAGAAAGGAGGTGCCTGCCTCCAAAGGTACATTTTGAGACAAGGAATCTGCCCTCGTGTGTCTGTGGAGTGGGTAACAAACCCAGAGAATCTGCCCTGGAATGGATAGGTGTGTTTTTTCTGTGTTTTGGGGGGATGGAGTTGGGGTGGCATATGCCCTTGCTGAGAAAGAGGGAAGGGAGTATGTGATGTGGTAGGGAAGGCTTGATCTGTTATGTCTATGCAAGATAGTAATCAACTTAAATGATCAGATCAAACAAAACTTCCTTGGTGTGAACCTGTGCGCTTTGAGTATAAAAATGCTGTTGCTCCTTTTTAGTGTACCTTTTAGGAATGCTTTTAGGACTCAGTATGTTTAGATTTGTGATAATATGGTTTGAGTGTAGATAAAAGTTGGCTTGAGAACTGATAGAAGTACTACCTTAAGTCCCCATATAGCCAACCACAGTGCACGCCAGGGTTTTGAAACCCTCAAATCCCAACAACAGAACGTTCAAGAGCTTAGCATTGTAGCAGGTAACCTGCCTGCTTACGGACTTGGATTTAATCAAGTCTGAACATCTCAGAAATTTATCTGCCTTTGAAAAAAAGGCTTTTCATTTCACTTTATGTAACAGATGAACCTGAGCTTTATGGAGATTAAATTTTTATAAATCCAATCCATTTCTACAGTGTTTTTTAAAAGTATTTTCTAAAGATCACTACAGCATTTTGCTAGAGTCATCAACTCTTTGTGTTTTATCAGCACCCTGATTTATGTATGACACACATGTGCCCATAAACATGCATATATGCATGTATACATACACACAAGTACATATTTTAGGTGGAGGGGGTTACCAACGAATGTGTATTTCTTTTAAAATAGGATACAAAGATGCTAATCTAGGTAGGGTTGATGCTATTGGACATAAACACCCAAATTTCTCAAATAGTTGTCAGTTTGATGTGTGGCCAGTTAGATTTTCATCATGTAACTGAGATGTCAAGATTCTCCAGAGTCTAGAACATGTGAGGCCTGAGTGAGCTCAACATACCAAGTGTGAGTCATGCATATGATAGAAGTATGTGGCTACATGAAAAAAATCATAAGACTTCGAAGAGTGTGATCTAAATGCTTACACTTATTGAAATATTACAAAAACCTACATCTTCATTTACTTGAGTATTTTGTTATAAGCCTAACCCTTAGAAAGGGTTCACCCTATTTCATACCTCATGAAAGACCAGGGCAGGCTTAAAAATTTTTTTCTGATCAGTTTTGCAAAAAAGAAAAATGAAGACAGAAAAGAATGCTGATTGGATTTTATGAACAAAGAGCTTTCATTTTTCTTTGAAAACGTTCAATTTGAAATAATTTCAACACAACACTCAAGCATTATGTTGTCCACTTTCTTTTCTCTAAATTAAAATGTATCCAGCTGTTGCTATTTTGCATTTCTTGTTTATGAATATTGAACTGCAGTAAAAACATTCTTTATTGTGCTTGGGTCTCCATATTTGGGTGGGGAGGATAATTGTGGTGCAAGACAGGAGGGGATTTGGTGGTAGCTGCACAAGAAAG